ATATAATTAACCGTAGAGGAATTTGTTGTCTAACAGAATTACCAAACCTTGATCTTCTTGGTCTGGATATGTTATAAAAACTTAGAAAGATGGATATACACATTAACGGTGTCTCTAATGTGTCAAGTTCATCATTGAAAACCCCGATACTTGCAAAAAGAGTAGGTTAAAAGTTACTAGAAAAGCTAAAGGGTAAATTTGCTCCTATTTTTCAGAAACGATTTTGTCTGCACCAACTAGTGCTGTTTCATTAAGATCCTTCTTGGGATTAATTAGTCATAACAGTACATTTCCCTCCTGAAATGCACAGAATGAAAAGTCTCCTGAATGAACAACTACCACAAGACATAGTTTGGTCGTGGTCAGCAGAATTTCAAGCATCTTTCGAATAAGTCAAATCAATGCTCAGCTCGAGGTTTTTGTTGACACACTTCGATTCCAGCTTGGGAATTGTTAATGTATCTGATGTTTCTAGTAATGGGTGTGGAGCAGTGATATCTCACGTGTTTCCGGACAAATCAGAAAAGACAACTGCTAATGCTGATAGGTCACTCACTCCAGCCGACCGGAACTACAGTCGGCTGGACTGAAAGGAAAGCTGTTGCAATCATTTGTCCTGTTAAAAATTCCATAAAATGCTCTACGCCCGTATGTTCACTCTACTGACAGACCATAAACCCTTAACTCAAATTTTCGGTTCTAAGAAAGGAATTCCTGTCTATACGTCTAACAGATTACAGCGATGGGAGACAATGCTTATGAGCTATGACTTCAATATCGAGTATCCGTCACCAAATACCATCGATCAATCCAACGTTCTTTTTCGATTCACTGGAGTTCAACACCCTGGACTGCAGGACATGATCATTGCTTTAATAGTTGCAGATCCAGAAATAAGGAGTGTAGTAGCAGATACCATACAAAACAATCCAGTGTCATCAGATGAAGTCAGAGGATAAACTCTTGGAGGCTCGGTTCCACGAAATTAAAAACTTTCACCTAGAAGAGTGACCCGCGAAGATCAGCTCCACAGAGGTTCATCAGTTTCACCAGAGCAAGCTAGCTCTCTCAACCACCGATGACTGCCTTCTGTTTGCCAAACGTGTCATAATCCCAAGGAAGTTATAGCCAGCAGTGTTTAAATAGTTGCACTCAGGACATCCTGAAATGAATCGGATGAAAGCACTAGCACGATGTTGTGTGTTGGCCACATTTAGACAACCAACTTGAGCAGATATTCTGTTCCTATACCAAATGCGAATTAGCAACAAAACCACCACAGGAAGCATAGCTCCAACCACGGCCAACGCAACACTCACCATGGCAACGTATACACTTGGACTAGCGGATACACAGAAAAGACTCTAGAATATTATGATGTGAAAATTATAAATATAATAACGTTTTTCTCATTTTGATTCCTACCTCCACTTAACCTCGTTTATTTGTGATAAGTCTTGTAGATTGAACGCTATATTCGTTTCCTAAGCTATTATGTAACCCCCAAGCTAGAAGCTATACAGCGACCTGAACAACGAGAGAGAAGATTTAAAGTATGCGAGAAATACTTTACTCTAAAGTTCATTTCAATACAGAAAATACAGAGTTTTCATAATATTTTAAATGTCTTTGGGTTGCTAGAAGATTCTGGAGTGCTATTAAACATAGTAGCAGTGTAGCAATAAGCCAATCAGAACCTCTGTATGTGACGTTTCGCCCCCTTGATATTTCTGGCTAAAACTTCAAGTGAACGCTGATTGGAGGAAACGCGTCTTAGTGTTTTCCTGATTCTTGTTTGACCTTCGTGAGAAATTTTCTAAGTCACCCCAACAATTTGGAATATAATTAAGTTCCTATTTATATGTGTTCTTATTTGAGGACTTGTGGAGTGAAGTAGTATCCAAAAATACTAAGCAATAATATTAGCTAGGTAGTAATAAGATAGTTCATAACACTTGAACTGTTGGATTTTTTAAAAAAGAAAGAGGTTCGCTAGTTCATCAAAAAATGGAAACGTTCCAGCGAAGGAAATTTTCTATTCGATGATATTTTCTGAAGGTGTACAATTTCCACATGTAGCAGTCGATAGTAAAATAGAGGTTTATAAAATTATCAATGATAGTCAGACTTATTCAAATGTAAGCCACTGAAAACGAAGTGGTGCTGCACAATGTAGTAAAGATTATCAAAAATCTCAAGTGTCAACTATCATAATTTATAAATGGAGGGGTGTTAGTTCAATGTAATCAAATTTTTCAAGTACTGAATAAAAATGGTTTATATCACTTAGCAAAGTAATCGAAAATCACCAAGAACTTATATTATGTAATAGATTCGGAAGTAGTAACAGGTAATAATCTATGGAATAAAAGATAAAGATAACTGTCTACTTAGAGAAGAAGGTAATAGTTAGCGATTAAAATTTGCAAAAGTCAATAAGGGTTCTAAGATATTGGTAGAATGAGGGATTGAACGGGGCTCTTCTGTACACAGAGTTCGGGTTTGAAACAGGTAATTTCTATGGTCTTGGCAGTGGCATAAATTCCTTATCCAAATGCCTTGGGTTCAGATTACCGTCAATGAAACAGGGTAGGAGACCATTCTCCGAAAGTGTTCGTCGGATCATATTCAGCTCATAATCAATTATCTCAGCAGTGCATATTCATCTGGCTCTTGAGGATACAAAGTGAACTAAATTCCTCTTCCTACTCAGTGGTACCCAACTGTGGAAGTTCATTTGTTGCCCGTTTCACGCTGGCTTTCTGTATAACGACCGTTGTAGAGATCAGTGTGATCTTCGTTCTAGAAAAATATCAAGGAAGTGAAATTCTGAGATCAAATCGGCTTCCATTGTGAATGTAACCGACTGGTGATAATTATTGAACTCTTGCAATATTTTATTAAGGTTGTTGTCTTCGTCACAGATGATAAAAGCATTATTCACATATCGCTTACAAAAATAAAATTTATCGATTTTTGATCGAAAGATGATGTCCTTTAAGTTGGCCATTAACATACTATGCTATAGAAGCTCTCATCACGACACCGTTTATTGTCCTATAGAGATCGTCGTTAAATTTAGCGTTGAAAATGGAACGTAGGAATAGCTCTTCGAGAAAATGTTTTGGTGCGCCGAAGTCAACGTTGCTAAAGTAAATATTATCACATGAGAAGCAAACAGTTTAAGAGCGGGACAATTGTGAATAGACAAGTAACATCTAACGATATCATTTTCTTTCTTGATACATCGACGTTGGTTATTGAGTTCAAGAAGTCGAAAGTCTGAAACGCTATGTTTGCAGATTCGGTTTTCGACAGGTAGTAGTGTAGTGAAAGTAAACACAAGTGAGGACAACCGAATGTATTTTAGCACAAGATTACAGAACATCTCATTAAAATCTGAGAACCATACAGTTGATTTGCGAAATATCAATCAATTGTCTTAAACTTGACTATTTATTTTGCATATATCAGTCGATCTACTCGGATTTTATTGTTCATTTATCTTCATAGCGATTACTTCCCGTTTCCGTTGTTTCCTTCTCTATCTTCTAAATACATTCTATGCCGGACTATCGCCATATACTACTATGTGGATATAAGTAACTCACACCACAGTAAAATCTCCACTAGCCATTTGGCAATCGCGTGGTATGGGCGATTATTTATATCCATGATCTGACGAAGAAAGAGATGTCCCTTGTGTAGCTTCGGGAGCTCATACAACAATGGGATAGAAAAACCCGATGGCTTTAAACGTTTGAATAAGTCATCGTCGATTATTAATCCACTTTTATCTTTTTCAGCATTATGGTTAGCTTTAGTTACATTTGGCATCTTTTTTCTTTGGTTCTTTAGAAAAATTTTCATTATTAAATGTTGAGAATAATTTATCAATATGGTCCCTTCAGTCCATAAGAAAAATTCCAGAAACTTCACCTGAACGGAGCAATAATAAATCCTTATTCTTTAAAAGATCGTTTTATTCAGATTTATGATAGTGTCCAAACTGATGTTCTCATGACGATATAGTTGATTCGAGTTGCTCAAAATGACTGTTGAAAACTAGATTTAAATTAGATGTTTATTTAATGGTTTTAGAATTACATTTTTGTGTAAAGTCCATCAATTTCCCAAAAAGTATCAGAAAATTTCGAATAGAGTGACAGTGCATGTATTGGGAACGTGGATAATTGTGCACCAAAATAGTTCTCAAGGGATTCTGTAAAGGTTTTAACTCCGTTTTTTGGGACCACCATTTCACTTTCAGTGGTCTACACTTTAGTAAGTTTAACTACCTTTGATAATTTTACTATCGACTGCTACATAGACAAGTTGTACAGCTTCAGAAAATGATATCATCGGAAAGGAAATTTCCTTTGCTGAGACTTCTTCATTCGCCTTTTCCTAACTTCTTCATCGACCCATAAGTAACTGTCGTACGTCTTTTTTTCCATATTTCACATTAATTATTTTATTACTCATATTTCGTATCACTTACGCTTAGGTTATATACACATTATAATCCCTTAATTGCTTTGCTGTGGTCATATATTTTGGCTACACTATAGTGAGTTTTAAGCCATGATTGAATAGTCTAATAGAGAACTGATTTGTCTTTGATTGGACACTAGGTTAAAAGCAGCTCGAAGACCAATACGCGTTAAGATTCTGGAATTTGATAATTACAACAGCTGCCTTCTCAATTATTGCCTGATCACACTGGCCCCAGCAATATCAAGCATTTATGTGTTTTTGTCGTTATATTAAAACTTAACTCAGACTAGTTGGCAAAATTGTACTTCAGTACTAAATCGAATTATAATTGACTTCAAGTATTAAACTTCTTTTGAATAAGAATAAGCACATGAACAACTAATCATCATACGATCATCGATCTATTTGTTAAATGAGTTCAAATAATGAAATGTCAAATCATACAAATTATTAATCTTCATATCTAGTAGTTACTAAATATATGAATGTATGAAAAAGAACAATTTATTAAGTACACAAATATATTTTAGAAAGTATACACTAGCAAACAATAATAATATAAAGTTTCTAATTGCGCAACGCATACAAATACATCTATTTAAAAAAGAATACCTTTACAATTTATGCAACAGGAACAAAATATTGATCAATCTTAGTCATATAAATTGTGAACAAAGCAGTTGAAAAAACCATATAAACAAAATGAATTAAACAAAAATCTTAACTAAAAATAAGTAATCTCACTTCATTACTTTCTATTATTTATCTAAATTGTCCTATTTTATTCGTTTTATTTTTCTCTAAAAAATAAATACTCATTACTGACGCTTCATGAACCCTTACATTTATACACAAAAACTAAAAATTCCTCTATGTATGTATGCTACGCTGATACATTACAAAACGAAAGATAATGATATTATATCTACCTAGCTTAGATTGTCTGATACACAACCAAATAATACTAATAAATCGATTTTAATGAGACAAAACAAAAGTTTATCCAATCAAAATATCCAGAGATGATTATGGATCCAAAAAAATAAATAAATAAACAAAAGTCACTAGGACTAGACTTTAGAACACGAGATATACGAAAACAACAATTTGTATTTTAGTGTCAGCATGTACCACATTAATATCAGTCATGCAAATAAAGCATAAGAAAGCGTCCAAGTATAAGAATAAATACGCTAATTCCTTTCTATGAGTCAGACAGTATTTACCCGTCTTTTTTTATAAAACAAACAAAGTATGTGTTTCATGATAAAATGTATACTAACCACTAGAGATCAACGAAGTTAGACAAAAATGATAATAACAAGTAAGGCATTATATTCAATAAAAATGGGAAACGGAAAAAGTATAAACGGTTTCCAAAAATAGTATATTTTAGATAATTCCTTAAAGGAGAAAGAGTTAACAAAGGAAGCCAACGAAAGCAGGCGCACACTCAGGCACAATCACAAAAACACACAGTGCTTTGATTAGTTACATACATACGTTGAAGTAAAAAATTAGGTCCACAATCTGGAAAAGTGTGTTTTCACAGAACAAGAATGCATAAATTCTCTGTCAAAAAAATAATAAAAATCTGATTGAATTTTTTAGGTATTCCATATAGAGGCAGGGCATTTGTTAATTCTTACACAAAATACATTGAATAAGATAGCTGCTATAGAAAATAGGACGAAGAAAAGAATACAAATCCAAAAGAAAACTTTTTCCCACTTTTCCACCTTTAAATTGCGCAAAATAACTACACCTAATAAAAGACCTAGAAATGAAAAAAAATAAGACATATATGTGAGAAATAGGTAATGAAATCTCAACAAAATTAAATCTGAAAACATTTTGATGATATGTTTTCCCAATGAAACTATTTGAAAAGGACAATCTTATATTTTCTTGCATATATCGGTTACTTGAAAACGACAATCTGTGTCAACGTTATGTCAAGCACCTTGTAGTATAACGACAATGAGTCGGAAAAATCACCACATGGTCACTTGATTGCAAGTTTTTCTGATTTAAATGCAATGACTAAGTGATTTATTCGTTTCTGCAAACCAACAGGCACCGATTCGTGTACTCGACTTTCAGTCGGTCGATCGAAACGAACCAGATGCAGGGTTGCAATCCCGAAGCTCAGTAGCTGAAACACAAACACCTCAACTCCTGAACAACCACCCCACATTACGATTACAAATATACACTGAAACTGGGTACTTTTACACTAGTTTAAAGGGGAAACAAACCTCATCTAATCTCGTTACGATTGGAACCGCACAGTACATTCTCGTGAAACAGTCACACAAGTACCAAGAACCTTAATGGACCACATCGTTTGCACTATTGGATACTGTCAACGCATTGTAATTGTTAGTGGTAATTTAAAAGATGACTAGCACAAAATCTTACAACTCTCGGGATCCATAACTACGTAAAACTTTGAAATAGATTGTTCTTCATTCAGAATCACAACCACCACTATTAAAGAAACAGGAACTCTCTTCAATTACATTAGATTATAAAGTTTATATATGGTGGTGAAGGCAAATCTGATTGGTCACTGAGTTTAAAGAAACAGGTACTCAATTTACTGAACATCAAATATGTGATTTCTTCTCCTCTCATTGATTTCTACTCCAGAACCATCGAATGACTGATTGTAATTGAGTCAGATAAAGTATTGTCTAGTGCTACTCTGGTTCTCTATTCCTGGTTGTGAATCGTGTATCTGATATGACGTAATTTAGCCTGTGTATGGCGAACTGTTCGAGTATCCAATTTATTGGTATTATAAACTTGGTCACCCAGTCTTATTATCGTCGTATATCACAGAGGGAAAAATATTATAAATCATCATTCATACCTAACTGTCTACTTCTACAACTTAAGTATGTAATTTTTCGAACTTTATCGCGATCAAAAGGTTTATTTCCTTACCCTACTTCGATGAAGTAAACAAATAGTTGCCGGCTGTGTGAAATAAGAATGTTGGATAAACTTATCACAACTCAATAGCTGAGTACATGATCGTGTGTTTAGCTTTCATTTGTATAACATGAAGTTAGGTTTATTTATGCAGTTCATTTCCAGACATCGAATGAGGTACGATGGAGTTCAAAACTACAATTCACTATCTGTTCCACGTCCAAGGCTTAAACAATAAGTAAACAAATTACGTATGTGCTCTTTTATTTGAACATTAGAAATTTAGACGTACTTAACCATTCAGAAAACATTACTTATAATCAGTATACAAAAAATACCATCTGTAACTTCAATGAAAACATATGTACACAATAAAGAGATAGTTTAAAGGATAAGAGCTATTTCATCTACCCCTTATACAAGCCAGAGGTAGACATTATATTAAGCTTGGTTTCAATTAATAACACGTAAACTGTTTTTTTATATGATACATGATTAGCATTGATAGATCAAATAAATATGTGAATAGGACTAAGATTCGCTGCCAATAGTTTAACATCTACTTATATTGTTCTAACAGCATTCAAAAGATTCTTTTGTTATAGTTTGCCAGCTTTACTTTTAGATACTTAATATGATAAATACAATCTTCAGTTATATAAAATACTTTTACAAATGAGCAAACATGTGACTAGGTCAAATTTATTACTAGAAATCAATGTATTGGGGTTTTGAAGATATTATTAAACAAGTTATATTATTGTATCTAAGTTTGTAAATACATTTACATTTGCTTGTATTTCTTGTTGTAAAACTCAGAAATAATAATAACAACTTATTTACTAGGAGTATTTTTGTGTGCACTTAATGTATAGTTAAACTCGTCTTTGTCTATTGGACGTGATACTACTTATTTGTCTAAAATAAAGTAGATAGCATGGTGTTCAAACCTATAAGCGCGAGGCTGGAGATCACGCACTTCAACCATTAAGCCACTGTTCTAAAAGTTATAAAGAGATATAAGTAGCAGAAAAATATAAAAAATATAACTTTATAGCTAGTTAATTTATCTGTTTAAATGTAACTATGGTTGTACAATCTAGTATTGTACATATTTATGATAGTTCTAGGAGTTGAACTACGAATTTGAAAATTTCACCATAAATTGAGCATGAAAACGCACTAAATATGTAATTCTGGGTCAATAAACAATTTACATATGTTTAAAGAAACTAATCATTGGTTACTGGTAGGAAGTGGATACGTAACAAAAGAACGATAATTGTTAGAACAAATTAGATTTGTTTAGTAACCTGCTATAAATCCACCGAAATGAGCAGAAAAACCAACACGTGTTCTTTCATCTGGGTTTTTCAATCGAGCATAAATGGCTAATCCAGTATCACCACCACCTTAAAAAGTGTTAAAATAAAATAGAGAACATGAATTAATACCGATAATCATATAACAATAATGTGCAGACAAGATAGCAAACTATTATACTAGTAAATTGGCATGCAGTGTACTAATATTGAACATCTAGTTTAATCATGACAATCTAAATGGTTTCAACAGTACTCTATCACTAATTATATGAGCAATTATTTGATAAAAGTTCAAACTAAAGTTTCAGGTGAACAAATTAAAATAAACGTATTCAAAGCAGCAATAAAACCGCTAAACTACTCTGGTACATTGAAACGCTTTATCATAAATACCAAGGTTATTTATATTTTGCACGATTACGAAAAATATATATTTGGATTTTATGCCTGAAATAATTGCACATTACTAATGTCTTCTCGAAAAACAGACCAGGGATCTTTCATTCTAGTGAAACCTAAAACCATACGATATAAAATTACTAGGAAAATGGAACAGATAACAAATCGTCCATTGACAATTGATAAGATGTTTACAGACGAACATTAGACTCGAAAATAACTGTATCAACCGTAAAATAATTAAAAAAAGAGAAGTGTTAAAGTAATAGACCTTTTAAGCCAGTATTTAAAGTAGATAATGTGATGAGTGACTTAACTCAGTTAATAAATACAGATTCGGATGTCCTGTTTTTGGCAACACATTGTGTACATCAGGTGGAGATCTCATACAGTTACTTATAGGGTATCTGATGAAATGGCTTCAACTTTCTAACCAACTGAAAATCAAAACTTATGATATATATATATATAATAGAAAAAAAAGCATAACTAAAATAGAATTAGTAAAAGTGGAAGAAATGTATAAACACTTGTGTCATATGCAGTAATTTACGATGCAAATAAGTATATGATGATTATAACTCACCAAGTAGAATAATTAGAATTAACCTGACAACACCACTTGATATAAAGTTTAAAGGATCTTTCAGCCATCCCTCTTGCATTATATCCCAATTCTGAAGTATTCGGAAAATAAAACAATAATTCAAAGAAAACAGAATGAACTTTAACAAAGTTAAATAGGCACTAATAACCGAAATTCATTTGCAAATGTAATTTCTCTATTGTAATCTGATAGATATCAGACGAAACGACTTCCTAATTACCTATTGATATTTAACCACCGAATAGTTTGTTGACAGTCGTCATTCAAAATAATATCTCATCACCTTATTTATACAAAAACAATTTAACAAATCTGAGATTGAAATACATAAAGCCTATAACTTTCAGTTATATATCTTGATCAAATTTAACAAATAAATCAACACAATCGCGGTAAATTATTTCTTGTGTTTTTTTCAAGGTAACGGATCAAAGGCATAACCATTATTTGAAAAGAATTGGTTTTACATTTCCCCCACCCTTACTATAACATCACCTAAGACCCTAATTTCTAAATGATCTGAATTTTCTATTGGATCATCTTACAACCATGACTAATATGAAAAAAGAACTTCCAGTACTCAGTGAACCAGTATACAGTTGTTTTGGACAAGGGAATTCAAAGTACTTCGGCCACCTCATTGAACAAGGCAATGAAAATCGCAACGATGCCATAGTTTGGTAGAAATGTGTACAACACTCTTTTGATAGGTCAAAGCATTGAACTTACAAAGACGTAGTACTGAAAGGATTTCTGTCAAGTTTTCGATTCATTCTAAACGTTCTTTAACTAGACAGACTGTGGAAAACAAAAAAACCTATATGTGAGTTACTGACTTTCTTGTGAATTTCACTTTCATTCGCAACTTCCCGACTGATAAGTAACTCAGTCACAATATCTCGATTAAACATTTTGTATACAAATAGTTTTTTCCCTAACAAAACACCCAATAAGTTGAAGATTGGATTAGCCGCAAGAATGCTATGCAGTTCTAATTTGAGCACAGGTTTAATGAGTGAGTTGCCAGTTCAATAATTTTAGTCATTGCTGTCATTGTATTAAAACGATAAGTTTATTATAAGACTAATTTTATCACAATAACACCGACAGTTATTATCAACAAAGAGAAAATTTAACTAAACATGTCGGGAATGAACTGTCCATGAACAACATCCCATATGAACGAAATATCCCTTCCTATAAATTTTTACTATTTAAATTCGAAAACATTTAAACCGAACTGACTTGCTCTGAATCAGATTGATTAGACATGGTATATTTCTAACAGATGATTATGCGTTTCGGATTTCTTATTAAAAAACATTTCCTGTTATTAGTTCAAATGATAATCAACTCCTGGGTAATAATTACTAAATAATATACAAGCAAATCACTTCAAAAGCTTTGAGACTGTTACTACTCGATTTACACAACAATATATTGTCTACACTTGCCATAGGTGGATGATAAAGCAATAATTTCTACTTTTTGTTGAGATTTATTAAGAATATACGGTAACAAGAGAGAAGACCCAACATACCATTATTACAGTAGCTAAATGAGCGCCAATAAGTGCATAACAGCCCCCACTAGCTCCTGCCAACAAAACAAATGGGTCACTCACAGAATGAGCTAAAGAACCTATAGTGAAAACATTAATATACAAAAACAGGATTAAATAAATAACTGTTGAATTTTCGGTTAAAAATCAAGGGACAAATTAAAAATTTCTTGCTAAACACATACAACATAAATATACAAGACAAAAGAACTAAATATTTACATAAGACTGGTCGGGTGTAGATAGGTATCTCGGAGTTAAATAGGGCAAAATAACGAAACAGGAAAGCACAGAAAGTAAAATCAGACAATACACTTGCGATCATAGTGTTGTCATGTACTTTACAATAAGTTTTGAGTAGACCTAAGTTTCCAGTTCATTACTTAACATTTTAACTTTTGAAAACGAATACATAAGTGGAAAAATGTATTTGTAAAATTTCAGCGAAAGAATTTGAAGTAGATCCAACGTTTCGCCTGGCAATCTGGCGGACGCTTTTTCAAGGAAAAAAAGTGTCTGAAAATCTTTTACAAATACGTATTTTTACAAATAATAATACGAAAGCTACCTGCAATAACGCCTAACAAATAAACTAATCCAACTCGCCAAAATTTATGAACAATTTCAAGTAGAAGACCAAGTACAACTTGAAGTAAGCAATTGAAAGCTAGATGCACATAACCATTATGAATAAACATATAGGTTAAAAATCTCCATACTTCATGACGTTTAGTTGGGTTATAAATAAGTATACTATCAATTGGGACACCAGATGACGCTGTGACGATACTGGAAGAGCTAGGTTTGTTGTTGTAAGTAACAACGTAGTAAATAAAAACTACAATCTAAAAAAAAAGAACAAAAAAACATCGAAAGTATCGACAGTCACTAACGTGTGACTTTTAAAATGTAAAAGTATAATTTTAGTACTACTATACAGTTCGATATTTGAAATTGAGATTGAATATACTAACCATGAGAATCGCAACAGATGATTCTAAGTAGGTTTTTTTAGAAAACCGAGAAACAAAAGTTCAACAACGAGAGAGATCACAATTGTATGTTCGACAAGAAATATATGGCAAAAGCCAACCGAAAATGGGTTTCTGGTACGCAGTACATGTATGGAAAAACGTGTGTACAGAAAAACTTTCTAAACTTTCACACAAAACTATAGTACGAGGTTTTGCTTCAGTAATGTCCTTATTTCAGTGTCTTCAAAAACACTGATCGCAGTAGCTTATGGTTACAATATTTAAGTGCTTATGGATCACTAAAAAATAATCAAATGATTCTTCAAAAAAAACAACAATGGGATCGACGAAACAATATGCGCCCAGAAATGTGAAAATTATATCTAAATACGGCTCAAACGACGTACCCAGTACAGAAGTATAAAATTACGGACAACTGTTGACCCCTCATACATAGTGAGAAAGACAATCTACAGCGAAAAAAATATAACACTTCTCATTTGGCTTTCAAAATTACAACTTCGTGTTTAGATCTGATTCAAATTATAGAGATCCACTTCACTGTTTAATGTTGCTTCCATGTGACTGTCTTCAAAAACTAATTCGTTCTCATCAGAATTAGTATTTTAGACCAGAATAGTGCTGATAGACACTTCTTAGTGAACAACAAAAACAATTACAGATCCACAAACAAAAACTAAATCATGTAAAACAAAGTGTTGTCAGTCAATTAGGAAATGAATTACCTCAGCAATAGTTATCAAAGGGATAAATATAGGAGGAGGACGACAGTCATACGCCTGTACATAATTATCAACATCTGCTTCACCCCAATTGTAGCCATCGATAGAATCGTAACCAGAGTTTACAGCAACAGTCCGTTGATACTCGCGTCCACAATCCGGTGCTATAGCCAGCACTGCACGATTGAGGACTCGTTTGTGAATACGCAGTCTCCGGAGAGTTCCTTCATCCTCAGATAGAACCTATTCGAAATTTAGGGAAACATAGTAAACGGAAAAGTGGAATACTAAAATGGAACTAATAACTACACCAAAAGATTAAAAAATTACGTTGTTGCCCAACACGCCCAGCTCCTCTCAAAAACATTACTAGAATTCAAAAACAGCTCTTAGAGGGAATAGGTTCAGTCGAAATTAAATGTATACTGTCCGCCATGAACTGTGGCAACATATGATTCGTAAAAGAATACAGTAAATTATGGACATATATAGCAAAGATATAAAGATGGAAATCACTCAATCAACTGGAATATAAATGCAACCAAAGTACTATGCTACATAAAGAAACTCAGATTTTGAGCCACATTTATTGTAGTTTACACAATACACAAATGTTATGAAATAAGATTTTAATCATACAGTCAAGAAAGTCGGACCAACAACTCAATAGGGTTACCTAACAGTCAAACGTCAACACAGTTTCAAGAGTTAAGTTATTTAAATAACTAGGAGGAGAATAGACGAAGTTCTCTTCCATCGGTAGCTCTCGGCATCGGCAATATTACAAGTTTACACTTCGAAACAGACCTAGTGGGACATTCCACATGTTTGGAAAATTCATACTCTATTAGTGAAAACTTCACTACGACTTTATTACATTCCCACAACAAATACAAAAGCTCAAAGATGGAAAACACGTTGACTTTCATGTGTCGGAATAACATATTGGAATCTATGCGTCAACCTGTTTCGTAATCTGGAAACAACCGTGATTATGTATACAAAGATAACCGAGTGATTTCGCCATAAAGGAACACGATCTCAAGTCCAGCCGCATCCATACACAACACGAACTAGGATTTAAATGGACACCACTCATACACAGTAGAGGATAATTAAAAATCATATCACTAGACAATCACACCATCAGTTAAACTGATAAATACAAGTAGCACAAACGAGATGTCAACCGTGTCAACCAGACTTATCGTTCTAAGCTTGTAGTTTGTCACATACATTTTTTTTCTATTACTGTGCATCACATCAGATCACGCATTGACAACATACAAACCTAATACATTATATTTTGAAAATACTTACTTGTTTTAGGAACTCATCGTAAGTAATGAACTGGTCTCCATCTTTATCGGCTGAGTCCACAATATTGTGAACTTTTGATTCTGGTAGGTCAGACTTCCCGAGAAGTCTCTTCAAATCAGACAATGGAATACCATCTTTTGTACCGTACTAGGGATCCATTGAGGCAGGTGAACTTAACTTACCTGATCAAAGGTGGGTTTGAATTTCTACAGAGAAGCCGATATGCATACGAAAATGAACATACTTTATCCAAATAAGTGCGCAGATTGCCAGATCGTCTACTCGACATTCTCACTTTGGATAAGAAAGTACATCAACTAGCTTATATAGAGCGCTTCCGGACATTTAAGGTCATCACTTCGGCCACAAAGACAAAGATAAACTGTCATAAATGTAGTTGACTAATTTTCTTTTATCGTGTATATTTCATTAAGATTATACTACAGATTTCTACTAAGAATTGAGTTGTCTGATTCCGGAACATTGATAATTTTCAGTGCGTTTTCATTTTTGTCTTGCCTTCTCATACAAGTTGCAAATGATACTGTAGGGTCAGTTAAAAGTCACTAGACACTAGCCAAATCATCCAGTAGTCAGTGTCGAACAGTTCACCGATCCTCATCAAGTTCGAGGACAACCAACGCGTATATCGATTAATCTCACACCATGGCCTGGCTCATACCATGGTGATCGCATTCCCTTCCATACACCTACTCTCATTAATATATTTTTGTAATAACGTTCTACATGCTATACGGTCTTCAAAGTAGCCATAGAGTCTGGACACGACGAAACGTTAGTCCACGTTAGGTACTAACCGTGAGGTGTGGCTTCGACGGTCGAGTTGAACCAGGTTTAACTGAACGTTTGTAAGCCGGTTCACGTCGGTGTTTTGATCCACACGCACTGAGGTTGAATAATCTACGAATTCTCCTGGGGTTCAAAGTGTCGTGAGTCAAATAAGTTTGGCTGCAGTGTATCCATTATCATCTTCACTGAAATACGAATTCTGAATAAGACAAATCTAACTACATCAGTCCATTCAAAAATGTTTTCTGCTGAGGGTAAAACCTACAACTGTCATTAAAATCGTTCTACCAACCTGTTGATATACAGAAGGAAGACGGTCGTTTGTTCATGTGATTCCTGGGAGTGTTGTGATACACAGAAATCCTAATTTGGTCTGAGATCCGTGGTTTTTGTTAACAGTCGAAGGGCGACCAAGGTTTGCTACCAGTCGTTTAATGAAGGAGCAGGCCATTATTTCAGTAGCAAGGTCTCTGACAGATAATGCTTCTGACCACTGTGTTAAATCGTTTATCCACGCTAAGAAATAAGAGTATTAATTTGATTTTGGTAAGACCTACCAAATAATCACTAACATGGTTGAAGCGGGCTCCAGGAGATTTTAACTATTCTGGGGGACATTTAGCAAGTATAATCACCTTTAATGTCCGGTAACTCATGCAAAAACGTGTTCACTTTTTCAAGTGTTGATTCATACGAGGGCGGAAATATCGATCTTCCCTTAACTTGATGGTTACTAGAAAATTTGGGTACGTAAGCTTGTGCACGTATTGAAGATACTGAGACAACAGTGTTTCCCCATGAATGGACTATCGTTAACTGCAGTGTTGGCACAAAGTGGAGTTTCCTTGTCTGATCTCATCTGTTTGAGGGCTGTTGAGGATAACACATACAGAAGATCGGTGTCTATTTTTGGAAGCTGGAAAAGTTTAAAGAAGACCGTTAAAAGTATGTGGGCACCTACACTGCCTGTCCTTGAAACATGTATGTCTGAATTGATTTTTGAAGTGAAGTCCAGTTATTTGATTCTTAAGGAAGGTACTTGTCTGAAGACGGGTAAGGAAAAACGGTTGGACGTTTATGGATGGAGTGGATACTCGGCTTTCACCACTGTCGTTCAATTCGATGATTTTTGCATGGTCACATAAGACTTCGTGTGGACCATCAGTGGAGATATGTCAGATCGTTGAATGTGTGCAGTCACTTGACTGTGGTCGGTCTTGAGTGATCTAGAACAGCTGCCACTTTGTTTTCTGGGGATTAAATACATTAGGCGAATACTGGCTTGCCTGTGTAAGTCATGTTAGTAGATAACAGTCTGAAATTTCTGTGTTAACGGTGGTGCGGTCCTTTGGAGTCAGTTCAAATGCTGGAGACGGGATTCTGTAAATTAACTAGCGACTAGACAGTCATCGACTTATACGTGCGTAAACTATGTTGATGAATCTCTTGAAAGCTTGTGGAGCGTTTTTCAAACTGAATGACACACTTATATCACAACTTACTTAAGCCTATTAACCCTCGTCTAAGAGCAAAGGTCATCCACCAGCATTCCTCATCCAACTCGGTTCTGAGAAATCTTTTCCAGTACTTTCCAGTGGCCACAAATCCTTTCATATCTGCTTTGAATTCCTGATGAAGTGTTCCTAATTTGGTCTTCCTCTTTTCCGTTTCCTCTCAAGATGTCAAGTAAGCGCTTGACTCATGATGAAGTTTGGTGATTTCCGTACTGTCTGTCTTATTCACTTTCATTGTTTTTTCCTAATTTTCAATTCAACTGGAAGCTGGTTTATTCTCTCCTATAGTAGGCTGTTGCTAATTGTTTCCAGTCAATGGACAGATAGTATCGTGCATAAACAATTGTTTATAAATACTTGTACAATTTGATAATGACTGTAGTAGTTCTCCACGTTTAAGCTCTGAACAGTAGAACTATCTTGACGTTCGTGTTGAGGATGCTGACTTCGGTATTGGTTGACAGTTGTTTTGAGTCTCATGCGTTTTTCAGCTGCAGGAAGGCGGCCTTTGCTTTACTAATCCTAGCCCTTACGTCTGCATCGGGTCATCCACGTCCACCAATGATGCTGTCCAGGTACGTGAAAGATTCGACCTACTCGATAGTTTCTCCAAGTGTGGTTGCTGTTTGCAAACTGAATTTTCGTCCAGGTTTATCGTGACAGGTTTGAGATCATTAAAACTGCACAGTTTCTGGAGGACTTATCATGGGTGTTGTTGTAAGAGTACTGATTTTAGTTACATATTACCAGGGAACTAGAGACAGATCTTTTACGTGAAGGGCTTTTTTGAGGAATCTTAGACCATTTGTGATCATGGCAGATGTTCAAAAAGGAAGTGATGGTATTACGGAAATGTTATTTCGTTTTTATAGACTGAGCTTTTTCTTAACATGATAAACCTCAGTGCCAGTTTTTTTGGTGGTATCCAGGACGTGGAGAATAAATGAAGCTCATTTGTAAGCAAATACAATAAGCTGATCTGTGGTGTTATTTAAGAACGAAATAAGAACTGCTTGCATCTTCTGAAGGAGCTTAGATATAAAGAGTTTTCTGAAATGCAATTCGCTGAAAGTTCGTTTACCAATGATGTCACTCATAAGTCGGGACATTTTCATCGCTTTTCGGTCTCATGATTCGTTATTGCGTGAGAGCTGGTTTAGCTTTTGTCAATCAGTTAGGTCTCCACATATGCGGATGGTCTTTATCAAAGCGCTTCGTTCGGTATAGAAGATTACATGGAAACCACCACTGAAGACGTCAAGGGTTATGACAGATCAGCAATAATGTTGGTTACTTATAGAACTATTTGTTACGTGGATTTATTTACCACTACAAGTTTATTGAACTCCATAGATTTACATGAATTGTCTCGTTCTCCTATCAGAATAAAATCTCCCTAAACCTCATATCTATACACAGCATCCTCCTTCCACGGCACAAAAATTATTCACTCAATTGCAGAGTTACGGACAAGTAGATTTCGTGCCACTTAAACAAATGAGATAAGCGTGGCTCTCGCATCACAAAAGTGCATGATTGATTTCTCATGTCGAACATAAAAATAACTTTTTCAGGATATTTTCTTCACTAATGACTTAGATTTAGCTTAAGTGCTACTTTGTCCTAATATAAAACGCTGCCGTGGCAATGTTGCTTTAAGGCACTCCTGTACAATCTTTCAAGAATTAAAGCCTCTCCCAAGTGAAGAGACAAGAGGCAAGCTGGGCTACACAACGAAATAGTTCCACGGATTTAACAAATTTTCAGCATTAGCAGCCATTCCTTGAGTTCATATTAACATTTGTGCTGATGAAATTATATACTTTACTAAAAAGGGAAATACTCTTTAGCAAGTGACCATAGGTATAGCATAATATGTGGTTCATTTGACAAAAAAATTAAGAAATTACGAACTACTTTCTGGTGAAAATGACATCATTGGTGAATGCCTTTTCCAATACTTTTAAAACCCTTATTGTGATTATTGGTTGTAGATTTATTAGGTTGTAAAATAAAAAGGGTTCGAGCAGTCTTATCATAACATATATTACTAACTGCACAAAGCAAATAGCGATTGCGTTTACTTCATCTAAACATACAAATGGTGCACTATTTATTAAAGGAAGCTAATAAATGTAAGGGCTGTAAAAATAAAAGAATCGATAACTCTGAATCTCAGCAGTAAGTTAAGTGTTTATTCACAATCGTTTATCATTTTTGATATGATTATTTTGGTACCTTTCAAACCTCAACCAGTGCGGTCTTTCTCTAATGTACAGCGTAAATTCACAGAAAATAAAACAATCATTTGATTATGTACCTCGAAACAAGATAATAAATAAGTTTCCATACAATCTTGGTTTTATTGTTAACTGATTATTAATAGCGCATGGTGTAAATGTTGTAACTATATTCCGTGATGGGATGTTTACTAAGTATTGACGAGAAGGAAGCTGTTCTAAGATCTAAACAGATAGACGCCTCACTCAAAAGCGATGGCGAAAAAATGGCAAGAATAGCTAAGCTGTTGTTGTTGGGTAATCTTCAAAGTTTCATAACCTTTTAATAATACTAGGTGCTGGTGAGTCTGGGAAAAGTACAATACTTAAGCAGCTAAAGTAGGGTCAGTCAACTTTTAGATGACTTTTTAGAATTATTCACCAGTCTAGCTACACAAGAGAGGAGTGCTTACTTTATAAGCCTGTTGTTTATAGCAACACCGTTCAGAGTATGATAGCAATTATACGAGCCATGGGTCACTTGTACATTAAATTTGAGGACGAGTGTCGAGTAGTGAGTCGTTTTTCTTGTGAAAATTATCCTCTTTGAATCAACGCCTTAAAACGCCTATCCTTAATTGGATTGATAGATTTTAATTATTGACGATGGTATTTAAAAACATTGCTTTGTCGTGTGTCTTAGTCTCAAACAATGTACTACTTTAACGAAGCAATTTTGAGCAAAACTACATATAAGGCAAAAGTAAGCATGTTGCAATCCTTATAAATTGTCCTAACCTAAAGACAGCTTTT